GGGGGGGGGGGAGAGAAATTCTATAGGAAAGCAGCTCTTATAATGCCTTAATTGGTATGTTCCACAACAACAGGAAAGCGGGGAGGGGGAGTAAAGGCCGGCCGGAGAGATAGAGTGGGTGGGCTCTGACAACCAACAGGAAGTAGTGTGATGGCATATTTGCATAGTTTTTAGGGGAGCACATTATATCTCTGTATCTATTGAGGTTTGTATTGTCACTGTATAATGGGAAGAATATGTGTCTTTTTTTTTTTTTGTTATATTTGTGTGCATGTTTGTGATAGTGCATACACCTGTAGATATGTGGAAAGAAATCATCCTCACTGATGAATTTGGAAGACACTGTGACACCGTGTGTGTGTGTGTGATCTTTAGGGGTGTGATCAATCCCATCGGGGGTGTGAAGGGGGGTCGGACAGCGCCCCTGCAGTGTGTTTCTGTAGCCGAAGGCCATTCGAAGGCAGTCCTGTGTGTTGATGCCACAGATGAGCTGCTATTTACTGGATCTAAAGGTACACATACTATACTATATATATTTAAAAGCTGTTTTAAATGGATTCATGTTGAAACAAATAACATGATGACTTAAAGTGTGCATGCGAGTCCTGTGTGCTGGCTCGCAAATCGCAGCCGCTCTGCTCTGCGTGAGAGCAGTATCCATCTTTTCATATAACTCTGCAAGAATATGAATAGGCATATTTTCCAAAATTTCAAACAATGCCTCTAATCTGCCATCACAAACAGAAATAAAAAAAACAGACAATTTGTAGTTTTTGTGGCTTTGTCATTTTTACATTTGAGTTTGTGTGCAGATTAAAGAAATGCAACATGTTAGTTAGTGAACCTTAGAGATGTGGATAGCCATATTTTGTAAGCTTTGGAGAGAGCCAGGCTGCTTCCTTGGTTTTGCCCAGCTAGGCTAAGCATTAAAACTTTATGCTAAGCTAGGCGTAGCATTTCAACTCTTCTGGGTAAAAATCATTTCTTTAATAACTGGTACAATTCTTTTCTCAAATGTGTCAAAAGTCAGATTACTGAGACTGACTGACAATGAGTAATGTAGCAAAAATAATAGCAAGACTAGAATAATCTGATCTATTTATTGCAGTATGATATGAATGCAAGTACCCAAAAAGAGAATTTGAACTGTCTTTTTTCCTTGTGCAGATCGCACCTGTAAGATGTGGAACCTGGTAACAGGTCAAGAGATCGTCACCCTCAAAGGCCACCCAAACAACGTGATTTCAGTCAAATATTGTCCTTCCTCCTGTCTGGTCTTCTCCGTCTCCACCTCCTACATCAAGGTGTGGGACATCCGCGACTCTGCCAAGTGTGTCCGCACGCTTACGTAAGTTTCCTCCCTTCACCCAGCCACATGGAACGCTTTGGAGCAGTGGAACAAAACAATTGCAGTTGAGGAGATATTTTTTAGAAGCGATTTAGGGACATGCTTTTTCGGTTCAGTTATCTATCAAGTTGCAGAAAAGTGATAAATTAAATGTTTTATGTAAAATGTATCCAGAGGATATGACAACTGTAAAATTCTGCTCATTGCACTTGTTTCTGACTCCGTTTCTCCCATTTGTTTCTCTACCTCATGTCTCTCCTTTTTAATGTCCTCATATTTATCCATCTCCCTTAAACCTTTTTGCTTCTCTTTACCCCAAACAGTTCATCGGGGCAGGTGGTTTCAGGGGATGTATGTGCGGGCACCACCACCCGCACAATAACATTTGCTCAGGGTGAGTGTCAGATTAACCAGATAGCCCTCAACCCGTCAGGATCTGTGCTCTACGCTGCTGCTGGGAACACTGTTCGCATGTGGGACCTCAACAGGTATATTTGTTCATTAATCAATTTAGTCACAGATTCATTTTTTCATTGAACTACTCATCCAATTGTTTGTTACAGTATGAAGTCAGTCAGTCAGTCATGTAGTATGTATTCATGAACTCCTTCACTGATTAATATTCTTATAGTCATCCCCAGCTTTGTTGGTTCATTCTGACCGCCAGCCCTAAATTATTTTTTGACGTGGATGTATATATTCACTTATCAGATGTTACTCAACCAGAAAGTTAATTAACATCTGACTTAAGAGATTAAAAAGGTTGTCAAAAGAAAGTGCTGAGTTTGTGCTCTGACGTGTGCTCGAGTATGTTCTCTACAAGGCACCTCTTTCTGAGATCCAGCAGCTTCGCTGTCTTTTTATGCATCTCGAGGGAAATGATTAACAGATTGGACCAGACAGTTTACGCTGAGGGGCTCAGACCCAATTAATGATGCATAACAGCCCCCAGAAATGAAAAATGAATGTATTAAACATTTCTCCAGTATCGTCTCTGCCTATGGCATTGCTGTGTCTCAGTAGTTTTGCTTCACTAGCGAGATGGAAAGCGATTTCATTCAGTGAAACCTTGAAAATGTATTTCACAGATGTTTGGTTCACCAATTATGTTGTGTGTGTGTGTGTGTGTGTGTGTGTGTGTGTGTGTGTGTGTGTGTGTGTGTGTGTGTGTGTGTGTGTGTGTGTGTGCGTGCGTGCGTGTGTGCGTGCGTGCGTGCGTGCGTGCGTGCGTGCGTGCGTGCGTGTGTAGGATGCAAGGAATGGGGAAGCTGACAGGCCACAGCGGCTCTGTCATGTGCCTGACAGTGGGACAGTCTCTGCTGGGCAAAGACCAAGTAATCACTGGCTCCAAAGACCATTATGTCAAGGTACCACACACTCTCTCACACACACACATTCAGACCATACCCGAGTGTCACAGATGCAGACACATCTAGTCTCCTGCTCCCTCTTCTGTCCTCAGGTGTTTGACGTGGCAGAGGGGATGCTGGGTAATATAGGTCCAGCTCATAACTTTGAGCCGCCCCATTATGACGGCATCGAGTGTTTGGCTGTACAGGGAGATGTGCTGTTCAGCGGGTCCAGAGACAACGGCATCAAAAAATGGGATCTAGAGCATCAGGAACTCACTCAGGTGTGTGTCTGCATGTAGAGCATGTGTTTTTATCAATATATGTGTTATTGATGAAGAAGGGACTTTTTTCTAAAGCATAAAACACGTCTCTTTTACTCTGCTGAAGACATACAGACACTCGCTAAGGGTTATTTGAAATCGAGACCGCATGTGTTGTCTGTTCCTACACAGTATGTGAGGTCAGCGGGGTCGAGTTCAGCAGGCAGCAGAATTATTTTATATTCATGTGGATGTAGAGTTCATACATCAAAGTTTAAAATCCTGACGTTATGGGCTGCAAACCTGCAGGTAGAAGAAGTCCATCGTTCTCTGAGGCTATTAATTCATGACATCTCGACCCTTAACTTAAGCCAGACTTTCTATATGGTGCATGAAGTGTAGATAGTGTGCCAACACAGTACAAAGGGGCTTTGGGAGATTATTGTGGGGAAACTATTCCTTTTGGTGAGGAAACCAAATTTGAATGTGCTTCTAGTGTGGAGTCGTGGTTTTGATACTCAATTGATTGTTTACGTAATTAAACATTTAATTGATTGAAAATTAAATAAATGATTTTGCAGCTAAGCTAGCAGCTCTGTTAGGCTGTGTTTAGTCAAGCAGCACTTTGAGCTAAATGATAATGGCAGCATGTTAACATGCTCACAGTGACAGAGATAATATGCTGATGTTTAGCAGGTATAATGTTTATCTTAGTTTAGAGTGTAAGCATGCGAACATTTGGTCATTAGACCCCCCAAAAAAAACAACAGAAAGTACAGCTGAGGCTGATGTCATTAGTTTAAACCAAAAGTATTAGACACATTTAAATTTTGCCCTGAGAGTGACACTAGTTAAAAAGTCAGGGGATCACTAAAGGCTCTACAATCTATCCTGAGGGGGGCATGAATGTCTTTAATGGCAATCCATCCAATAGCTGTTGAGATGTATCAGACAGACGGATATTGCCATCCCGGCCACTCGCTTACCATTGTTTCTGGGTCAAGCTTCTCCAATGTGAGGGTTTTCTACCGTTCTTATTTTATCCCGTTGTGAAAGAACCATTGGTTGGAAATGTCTTCTTTATTTTTTTACTATTTTATAAACTATTTATTTAAATAATTAATTGAAGAACTAAAGAATTGAGAATAAAAATAACCATTAGTTGCAGACATTTATTAGAACAAAAGAAATCACAGACATTACAAAACACGCACACACACACCGTCTGTGCCCATTCAGTCCCAGTAGAGATTGTATTTTACTCGTTATCTGACACGGGCTTTGCTGGTCAAAAAAAATGTGCTGCCTGTTGAGCGTTCAGTTGGTGGACAGCTCCCTTCGTGTCTTCCTTTTCCCAGAGGGTTCTCTCTGTGGAGAAGGTCAACAGAGTGTTGTTATGTCAGGGTGTTGAAGCACACACACATGGTAGCCACAGGTACCAGAGAGGAAAGTTATGTGTGTCTCTTTGTATGCATGTGTTGACTCCTGTGATGTCTCTACTGCATCCCACATTGGCGCTGCATATGTTATAGTGCATTATAATGCACCTTGTGGGTGGATGTGGCTTACTCATTTGCATATGCAGTAACATGCATATTAATCAGCACTTTCTTGTTATTTGCATAAGTTCTATTTAGCCTTTGTTGATCCGAACACAGAAAACAAGAACATAAGACATTACAGTTTCCATTCAAAGGCTGAATTATATCAGTTCAGTTAGTGCTGTGGCCTGCGGCACATAACCTTAACCTCATTTGTGAAGCAGCCAACACAATCCATTTTACAGCCTCTCTAGCTCTGTAGTCTCTGTCTAATTATGTAATAGGATCAAATCGTGGCTTAGGGTACAATAGAATATATTACAGTAGACTCTGCCTCCTCCAGGACTTCTGCTGCTCCGGCCCTTCTGTTAAAATGCATACGTCATAGTGTGTTTCTTGGGAGAATATGGGAAGCAATTTATTTATAATTACTCAATTCTAGTTTAGTGATTCCCAATTGCTTTATAAAAATATACCTCCCAAAAAACAATTTCAAGTTTGAGTGTGTTGTGCTGGTTTGTCGACATGCCTATGCAACTGTTGCTGCAGTGTGATGTTGCTCTCTATGAGGTGTTGGAAAGCACTGACACATTTTTACCCACTGGTGTAAAGTTGTTAGAGATAGCTCTTATCGCACTCCCAATTACCCGTGGGCAGGATTCCTCCATTTCCCCTCAGTGTTAAGGAAGGATTTCTAATTTCTCAACTTTTCGGGCCTCTAGATCCGAAACTAAAAATAACAAACTGCTGACACCCGGAATCAGGAAGTTGTCCTGTCAGCTGTCATGGTGGGAGCTTCACATAGATTATACTGAAATGGTGCTATATTTTAAAACCATTTAATATTCATGCAGTTACTTTAAAATACATGTATATCAACATTTACTGTATGTTAGTTTTCGACAAGATGGAAATGCAGATGATGTTTTGATTTATAGGCGCTTAGAAAAAGTAATCAACTTCATCTAGCTCAGCACATAAATTAACAGCATTGAACGTGGCATGCTGCACTGACTGATGCCGGGTCTAGTATCTATGATAACAGCATTGACGATCAGACAAGAGCCCGAGCCAGACTGGATTTTCAGGGTCAATGGCATCGATCTCTGAGAGTTAAAGAATTTAAATATGATAACATCATATCAGCCATATTGGTTTTTTTTAACGAATTATTGGCCGACATATAATTCAATACTTATATTGACGAAAAACTAATATCAGACGATTTCTCAGCCAGACAGTTTTTCAGTCTAGCTCTAATAGAGAATGGACAAAAGCTATTATGTCAGTGGCCAATACATCCTTGTTTTCTACACTGAAAGACTCTTTTGGGCAAAGAGGAAGGCCACATAAACATACTCAACAAACACTTCACTGTTAAACACATCAGTTTTCTGCCAAAGGACATAAACATGAACTTTCAAACCTTCAAGTAGATTTTTGGGTAAGTAGCATGAATCCAGGATTTCATTCTACCGACCTGCTGTCTACTATGTTGTCTGTGCATTGTTTCTCTAGTCATTTGTGTCAACAGTTTCTGTGTTGTATTGTGAATCATGATCATTTCTTGAGAGCTACTCATGGTATTTTTAAATATACTCCTTTCTTTATACAAAGCGATGTGAAATCTGCACTACATTATTTGGTACGTTGCAAATTATAGCATAATTGGATAATGTTTCTCACAGCATGTGTATTGTTCTTTGCTTGGACTATTGTTCTGTAAGAAAAGCTGAACAGAAAAACAACTCAGAGCTGTGTTTCAAGGTAAAATCTCCTTCAGTCAAAATAATACTGATTCATCATTGGGCTCAGAAAGCTGAAGAGGAAAAACATATGTTTTCTAACTGCGAACTGCAGTGTGGAAAACAAAGAAAAACAAATTAGTATGTGAGGTAATAATGGAACAACAATAATCAAAAGGTACTTCATTTGCAGAGTTATTTTGGGGGAAAGCTAATCTCAAATGCTATATGAAAATAATGAGTGACAGAAGCAAATCAAACACAACATGAAAAAGTAGATTAATGTAATAAAAGTTATCTCCCGGTGCATGTGTTCCTCTGTTTGGCCCTAAATTAATAAGCCTTGTGTAAAATCTAAATCGTTATTTGTTTGCTCTGTATTTTAAGCTGCTGACTGTGTTTAACATCTCAACTGTGCAGTGCTGCCTCATCTGTTCTTCAGTGTCTCTTTGATTAATACCGAAGTCCTGAAAAAAAGTGGAATGTCAATTTTGAAACTATTTGTCAGATGTTTTTGTCAGTGTATTACAATCTGTTCCTCTCAGCAGAAGTGTGAAGATGAGCTGCAGGAACAATGAATCCAATACAATCAGAATCATGTAGACATTAGGTCTGACTATAGGGTTGACATTACTGATAAATGAGCCAAATACTTGCTCAGTAATCTGAAATGAAGACAATTGAAACACTTCCTACTAACGTGTATGATTCTCCTCACACGTCTGCACCCTTTCTTTGCTATTTCTCTCCTGTTGCTTTATGAAACAGCGGCTCATGTCAGTTATTATCTCAGTAAACATAAGACAGATGAATCATGTTTGATTTTATTGTAAAATACTGAACATGCAGACACATGAACTAAGAATGACTAAGGTATTGAGTGATATGTGCATTTTCCATTCAATAACTCACGATGATCCATTATTAATGAAACACTTATATAATGAAACTGGTGCTTTTTTAGGAATGCAATAACTCGGATGACTCACATTCCTGATTTTTATTTATATTTTAATGTAGAAACAGGAGATTTAGGCTAATATAATTATCTCTCTCTGACTTTGTGTCTGCTTTGACTCCACAGCAAATCCCCAACGCCCATAAAGACTGGGTGTGCGCTCTGGCATATGTCCCGGGCCGGCCCATGCTGCTGAGCGCCTGTAGGGGCGGCGTGCTGAAGGTGTGGAACGTAGAAAACTTCACCCCCATAGGAGAGGTCAGGGGTCATGAAAGCCCCATTAACGCCATATGTACCAACTCAAGACAGATCTTCACTGCGTCCAGGTAAAAACAAAAGAAATGCAAAAAACAATCGACAATGAATTGATCCTGCTAACATGTATTGCCTGCCTGATATGTCTCATTCCTCTGTGCCATAGAGCTTGATTGTTGTCAACTATTCAACATTATTTATCAATCCCAAATATACCTTTTACTGCTGTAAATACTCACTAGAGCACAACATGTGTGTTAATCTGCTGCTGAAAATAGCCCCCAATATTTAAATCTTCAGTATCACCAAATGGGCTTGGAGCCCAGAGCCATAGATGAGGTATGGGAAGTCAGAATCTACCGAGAGATTAACTATAATGCGTTGTTAGTTTTTGTTTTCGTGGTATTTGTTGACAATATCAAGGATATATAATAATGCCAGCCTTATCAGGAGGGTTTGGAGGTTGAGCACATGAGAGAGAGAGAGAGAGAGAGAGAGAGAGAGAGAGAGAGAGAGAGAGAGAGACTTCATCCCAAGCAATAATCTGCAGTTGTGTGTCAGCCTCTGTAGCTCAGAGAGTGGGATGCTACATCATGTTTTTCTCCAAATCTGTGTTTTGCTGAGCTCATAGCTATGTCAGATAATGCTTGTTTACTGTTTGTGTGTATCTGAGTGGGGCATTCTGCGTGTCTGTGTTCATTTGTTTTCCACTTTTCGTTCAGGCTATCACAGAAGTTGACTAACTTTCTACTTCCTCTTCTTCCTGTCTTCTCCTCTTCTCACTCTTGTTTCGTCACTTCTTTTATCGTTATCATCTCTTAATGCTCTTTCGTCTTCTTTTCCGTGGACGAATATTTCCTCTTCTTTGGTCTCTTAAACTTTGCCCTCCTCCTCCTCCTCCTCGACCCCAGTGACTGCAGGGTGAAGTTGTGGAGCTATGTGCCAGGCTTGACCCCGTGTCTTCCTCGACGGGTCCTTGCCATCAAGGGCCGAGCCACCAGCCTCCCATGATTGCCTCTTCTCCGCTCACCAACCCTCCCTTCCTCTGGTATTCTCTTAAAGTTCCACCTTCTTTTCCATAATGTGTTCCTTGCATTTCTTTACCTGGGTGGTCCCTGCGCTCCTCTGTTTGCTCCTGTTCTGTTCTTATCCATTTGTTCCATTTTGCTTCAACCAATTCTTCTATCATTGTTTTCTATGTTTTGTTTTGTTCTTTTGTTTTTTGACACGCTGCTGTTTGACTTCTATTTTTGTTTTTATTGTAGTTACTGGTTCATTTGCAGATCCTCGCCTCCACTTTTATTGTGTGCAAATTAGCCTGCTGCTCCTTTTTTTTTTTTTTTTTTTTAAACATGCCTATTACATTTTTTTTTTGCCAAGTTCAATACCACTGACATGCGTGAAATAGCTAACCTAGCACTATCTAGTCTGGCATGTAACCCTGTGTAAAACCCCAGCATGACTATTGTACATTTCAGTTTTCATTGAGATTAACCAAACAAGATATATTTCTTTATAATTTGTGAGCTTTAGAGGTGCTGGTAGGTCACCTTTGAACAACGCCATGCTAGCTATTCCTCCAGTCTTTATGCTAAGCTAAGCTAAATACTTGCTAGCTGTAGCTTCATATTTATCATACAGACATGAGAAGGGATGTCAATGTTCTCGTCAAACTCTGGACAAGAAGTGTATTTCTCTTCAAGTGGAACTTTTTATTTAACATCTTCACCATTATCCTTTCAGACAGAATCCACTCGATTGACATTTAGCTTCTCCTAACACCAACCAAAGAGCACAGCTAACCTCTTTAGCTAGTGTTAATGGAAAACACAAAGCTGTCCTGGGTAACGCTTAATTGACCAGTGCAAGGTGTTATGATTAGCACCCAGGGAACATACCGGAAAATTAAAATTAAATTTGCTGGTCAGTTGAGAGGAGTGTTTATTAGATTTACTTGTTGCAGAGTTATGAATCATACTTGTTTGTCTTCTTTTCTGGGAAAGTTGGAGAGGTGTTTTCTTTCCCTGACACCATGAAAGCGGTCTGTAATGAAGTTGGTGTGTGAAGTGCACTATTAAGTCAATCTCTTTGTGCTGTGTCTGATGTACTGATGTACAATGGTTTGTTTTAGAAGGGAAGACTGTCTTGTTATTTCCTACTTTTGTTGTGTTCTCCTCACTTCCCTTTGCTCACCATCCCACCCCTCTCTTTTTGTCTCTCTCTCTCTCTCTCTCTCTCTCTCTCTTTAGCGACAAGACAGTGAAGATCTGGTCGTCGAAGGTGTGGAGGAAGAGGTGATAACGGAGGTGGTTCTTTTTTGTCGCCCATCTTGCTGCAACTTCAGCTCCTGCTCTGTGACCTGCTCACTTCTGTCAATGAGATGTGGAACTGTAAACACCGTTTCCAAGGCAATCAAGGTGTTTTTTTTTCTTTGTCAGGGTGCAAAATGACGAAGCAGAGGCGGAATATGTATTCAAAGGCAAAAAACTATTTGCCTTTCAGATTTTTTTTTTACTGCCAATTTTAAAAAACCATTCAGGTGTGACGCTCGGACAATATGAACCGCATCTATCTCGCCGTGGATTCACCAGGCAGAACAATTTCTCTCTCCTGACATTAAAACTACCACAGCCTGGCGTTGGAAGGAAAAGAAAAAGTGTCCTCCTGTTCTTTCACCAAGGTTTCCTTATCCTTGTGGAACAGTGACAGAGGAATCCGCTTAAATACGTGTGTACTCGTGTATCTATCTACCTTGTCTCAAAGTCATGACACGGGCTGAATTTAAATCCCAGAGGGACGTTAACTGACAATTTGGACCTCTGACAGTTTCCCCTCGTTCCTCCTTTCAGGACTGTCCGTGTCCATTAGCATTGTTCTGATGATGAACACATTGGAGGGTCATGCTATGGGCTCATTGGGTTGGATGATCAATAGAAAATTGTTGATGTTGGTTAAGGAATCACTGGACAATTAGGAAACGCCATCGTTTTCCACACCGGAAACGCCCTCCAATCCTTTTGTTTCAAGTCGCTCTCTGTATCTCACTGAACTTTATTGTGTTCCACAAGTCGTAATTTTTTTTTAATGACTTTTACTAATTTATTATTTTCCCTACCTCAGTTGTTTTGGACTTTGGTGTGAGGTGGGAGGGAACATTTTTACAGGTCTCTGTGCAAACACCTGGTGCTTGACATTTTGAAGTCTTTATTGTAAGCCTGTCTCTTCATCTCTGTGTGGATGTGTCCTCTGTGGCTCTCTGGCTTTAAGACTGTCTAGCTGCTGACCCTGCAAACAGGAAAGCACACGACCAGCAGTGCAACTAAGGTAGCACTGGCCCCGGAGGATCTGACAGAATTGTAATATCGGCTCTGAAAACTGCTAACTGCGGCAAAAAAACAACCCACCCCTGCAGATGCACATGACACAGTACGTACCTACAGCACACACTCTTAAGACATTTGTGAGCCGGGTACTTCTGTTGAGGCCAAAGTGCCAGATCATTATCTCAACCATCCTACAGTATGTGGCCCAAACTTGCCATTTATCCTCCACACAAATGGTAATAGGAGCCCTATCAGTTCCCCCCTGCCTGCTTTCAGCTCCACTCTGATCTTTAAGGTTAGC